AAAAATTGTGTGAAGAAATCGCATTGTGATGATGAATTTATTAGACGTCTATAATTTTCCAAACTAAATTGTTAATTATTAAATACAATCTATAAGGCTGTTATTGTTAAGCTCGGGATGCCTAGCCGATGGCCGTTGTTTGCTGTCAGTACTGCAAAAGTTACTGTTTTTAATGCCACTCCCTCTGCTTGTTTACACGATAGTTGCAATATCAATCAGAGAATAATCAGTGATGAACAAAAGTATTCAAAAATAAAGCAGCTAAAAAGTTTATCATGAAATTTGACCGAAACGGTAAGTCAACCAACAGGAATAGTTGGATAATGGTTACATGTTAGAAAACAAGTTACTTAAACTTTGTAGAATATTTCAATTTAATAAAAGTGAATCGAACATAGTATTTCTTTAAAAAATACCAGTTTAAATGAAGTAAATCAAATGTACATACCAAGCACCAAAGCTATACATATCGCAAATGTCCTCATATCTGTTATTATAGTTATGTTACTTTGCGAAGACTGAATACCAAATAATAAGCGATTTATATGATATCTGGACTTAAATATAACTAAACAAGGAGATATCTTCTTATCATTTTTGGTCACACATTTTTGGATCGGTTTGTCAAAACATCTATATTAGTACAAGGTCGACACGATATGGCATTTTCAACCTATTTTCTGTGACTTGTAAAAACAATTTAGCGGACCAATTACTCTAAACAATAATATTACGATCTTTTACTGACTGCCAATACAGGTCTGACTTTCTTGCACCAGGATAACTCCTACGGCTGAAGCAAGGGTCTGTCTCTTCAGTTTCCGCTAAAAACAGTTACCTGAGCGCCAGATATTCTCGTCTGTTACGACAGTCTGTGTTTGATTCTTTCTTGCATTTAACATCTTAATCCTATTTTAGAAAGAAATTACGGAAACTAAGTTTTTCATTTGGCAATTTGCACTTTGAGAAGCAATTAACAACCTCATTCATAATGGCAAAATGACGTCATCCCAAAAACATGGTTGATTCATAAAAGGCGCTTGCATGTGACGTCATTTAAAGCTCGTGACGTGCATAACATTGGTATAAGACCGGTTTTGCTAGCGTTGGTGTAAACAGTAAATAATCCCGAGTGATATAAATATTTTATCAACCAGTCAACACACATAAATAACAATTGAAGAATAATAGTAATTACGCATTTAGTCAAAAATTTTACAATGCCCAAAGGTAAATATTCTGGCGTAACAGTTGCTAAAGCGATCTAAGAAACAAGACAAATAAAAAAACACATTTAACAATTTACCATGCGGGCCGAAATCCTTTAAAGACTGAACAATGCGCGGATAAAATATAGACTAAGTGGATGAATCTATCTCTTGTAAATGCCACTATTTTCATAAAAGAATTGTAAGTTTATATGTAAATCCATTGTAAATCGTTCACATGTGTTGTAACGGTATGTTACCGTGTGGCGCGGTTAAAGGCAAAAGTTCCTAAAAAATAAATAACGTCATAATGTTGTTCTTTCATCTGCTAATATCATAGAGGAATGTTATTTAGCATGATGTTTGATATTCAAGTTTTGTACGATCAATAAGTATAGACACTCCCATAAAGTTCTGATCTCCAAAATATCGTACACCAAAAGTTTAGTTCGACCCATTTCAATATCATCATATAAATGTGAGCCCATGGATTTTATGCAAAAGGTAAGTGCACGACCATCTGAAATATCAAAAATCACCAATCTTTGTTGAACACAGCATCCGTTTAACAGGGAAGACAATAAATTGACAATAATTTAAACAAAATTGAGAATGAATATCCCAATAAAAATGTCTTGTTTGCAAAACCTAATTTGTAAAACGTTTCGGTCACATTTAGTGAGGAAGACAAATCATCAAATTGCAGTTGTCAATAGTGATTCTGTTTTTGAAAATACTGTTACTGCTTCTTCGAACCAAGATTATTCATTAGTCTCGGTAAGAATGCTTCTTATTTGAGAACGATGATGATGGGGAAATGATGGTTTACAATTTGAACTAGAAATGAAGCCTTTTCGTATAACACACATTGATCACGTTGGATACGTATATCTCTTCTTATTATACCCCCCCCGGAACAAAAATTGGGGTATATAAGAGTCACCCGGTGGTCGGTCGGTTGGTTGGTTAGTGGGTTGGTCGGTCGGTCTAGCAGTCTGTTGTATTTTCATTGTCCGCAGCATAACTTAAAGACTAATGGTTAGGATTAAAAACAACTTCATACAATAGTTAGTTTATTGAAAAAAAAATGCAGTGCACAAGAACCATAATGCCATCTTGACCAATTACAGGGTTATTGCCCTTTGTTACTTTTCCTTGTCTGGAGCATAACTTGAAAACTACTGGTTGGATTTTAAACATTTCCATACAATGGTCAAGTACAATGAGAGAAAGTGCAGTGCACAAAAATCATAACTCTTTCTAAAGTTATTACAAAGTTATGGCCCTTTGTTACTTTTCCATTGCTTTTTCTTGTCCGGAGCATAACTTGAAAACTACTTGTTGAAACTCAAGACAACTCCATACAATGATCAAGCGCATTGAGAGGAAGTGCAGTGCACCAAAACCATAACTCTATTTTGACTTATTACAGAGTTATTGCCTTTGTCCAGAGCATAACTTGAAAAAGCACTGCTTTGAATTAAAAAAAACACACAAGGAAAGGAAGTGCAGTGTACAAGAACCAGAGTAATGAAAAACAGTTATTGTCCTTTGTTACTTATCCATTGCTTTTTGTCCGGAGCATAAATTAAAAAACGACTAGTTGGAATTCAATACAACTTCATACAATGGTCAAGCACGTTGAAAGAAAAGCAGTGCACAAGAACCATAAATCCGTCTTGACTAGTTATTTCCCTCCATTTCTCTTTCATGTACAGTGCATAGCATAAAATCTTCTATTTGGTATTCAATACAAGTTCATAAATGGTCAAGTATATTGAGGAAGCACATTGACTCTTTTTAGAGTTATTGCCCTTTGTTACTTTTATTGTCCAGTGCATCACTTGAAAATTAATGATTGGAATTCAATGTTACTATATACAATGGTCAAGCGCAGTTAAATGAAGTGCAATGCTTAAGAAAAATAACTCTTTTTGGACCATTTAAATAGTTATTACCCTTTGTTACTTTTTTGGTCAAATGCATTACTAGAAAACTAATGGTATGATTTCAATGCAACTTTATACAATGGTCAAGCGCAGTGAGGTGAAGTGCAATGCACAAGAACTTTATCTCTATTTGGACTATTTACATAGTTATTGCCCTTTGTTACAATTCTTGTCCAGTGCATAACTTGAAAACTAGTTGTTGAAATTCGATACAACACATACAATAAACAAGCGCAATGATAGTGCGTTGCTTAAGAACCGTTTATCTACCTGGACTTATTACAGAGCACTGTAAGGAAATGCAAAATAAAAGAAACAAAACTTTATTTAATTGCCCACAACCATAGCTCTTTTTCAATTCCTTTACAAGGTATTATGTTACTAGTAACTTCCTCATTTCCGAAGCTGTCTTGCGGGGTATTATTCACATTTAGTGATAGCTCTAGCTTTTAATTCTTTGTCTATTATATTTAAGGAAACTATATTAATGTATAATTTAACATTCATACAAATTGTATCCGAAACAACTGTTGAATGCCGCTCTAACTATCCTGAAAAACAGAATTGCATTATTTATATATTTCAAACTTTAAAATCAAATAAATTCGACCCATTAACAAATACTGGTTTATTCACATCTCTGTATATTATTTGTTTTACTGACTAAACTAAAGAAAAAGTACATCCGTATGTTTTCATTACACCTTACAACCTATATAATATATACAAATAAAGTCCTCTTGACAATTTAACAATCAGTCAGTAAAAAGCAGATTATTATTAAGTAATGTCACGTCTTCTGGAAGCTCTAGCTCTGCACCGATTGAATCTTTACTAATCCTAGTGTAATGAAAAAATCCCCATAATAACAGTGATTATCAAAGACATCAGTTGGAAACTCAATATCGAGGATGTCTACTATTCTGTTACATTACAACAATTATAAGCTTTTTGAAAAAATGCTAGGAATCGTCATTTAGCCGGGTATTCAACACTTTTGTTCATGAAATTGTCTCCTGCATGAACAACAGAGCTGATGTTTTTTCTACAAAGATGGATATTCTTATTATTATTTTCATTCTTGTTTCCAGCTTCGTACACAAAATATCTTTTTTTCTTCAATTTCATATAAAAGTAACGATAACATAAAAAAGGTGGCGGACATCGTGCCTCGTGACCAAAAGACCATTCCTTGTGAACTTTTGTAATAAATTTTTGATATCAGCTTAACTTACGTGGTGTACAGATAGAAATGGTAAAATCCTGTAGCTTCCACGCAAGTTCTAATCAATCAAGTTTCTATAAGGCCGTTTGATAATTAATTGTTTCTCATTGAAACCTGGAACAATAATAAGCTCTCTCCAGTAAACCGTCCCGGTATTTTTTGTCCCAGTTAAAACATCTCTTAATTCGGTTCCTCAGATTTAATTCGGTTCAGTCTCGTCAACAACATAACGTTAAAACAAAAGATATTTCGTGAAACCAAATAGGTTAAACACAATATGTTTTGTAAGGTCTCCTCCGGACAGAATCCGTATATGGGAAGAATGAAACACAGCAATGTTGCCGTCAGCGATAATTAGCAAATAACACCTACATATTAAATGGCTATCTTTAAACGAACCATTAAAATGTATTTATTTACAATGTTTACTTAGGCATAATGATAAAAAACTCCTTTTAGTCTAGTAAAAATAAAATATGACCCAGAACTAATTGCAAAAGTTTTGAATCTTTGTTCATTGAATAGGTCTGGTATATGTATATGTCAGAAAAAAAGTTGCACATATAACTCTGTGCACTTTTTTAAACTTTTTTTACAAGCGTTCAAAGTTCACGAATTTTAACTTTATATTTTAAGACCCGAACTGTACACCATACACGCAGTTTTTTCCTGTGACGTCACAATTTTACGTCATTGAAAACTTGTCATATGATTTCGTGAAACTTCCGTCGAAAAATAAATATCATTTTTCATCAACAATAGCGTTTGGATGGCAAAGGTAAGTTTGTTTTGTGTATTTTACATTTACTTTTATCATTTATGCAATTTTACTTTCACAATAAGTGCCATAGTTAGATATAACTACGATTTTATGTTAAATATTTTTGGAAATAATCAGCAAACTAATATCACCAATAAATGTTAGTATTTAATTTTATTCTATTCCTAAAATAAACGATATATATATATTTACAAGAAATCGATGTTAATAAGATATTTTTAATATGAAAACTTTGTATTTTCGACATTATATTGTTACTTTGAAATAAAGAAATTTCACGATTTTTCGATCTACGGAAGACAAAACGGGACATAATTTACGTCGTAAATATGCATTATTTTATTATAACAAAGTATTTTTATTGTACTGGTCGGGGACAATCAAACGAACACAATTTGAACAATTTTCCGTACAAATTTCATAATTTCTAACCTAGAGACCTTAAACTTTGACACAGTTCAGCTAGGTTCTTCTCCTAACTAACTAGCTAGTTTGTTTATTTCTGATTGTATTGACACTTATATCTGAGGCTCCACAAGGATGGTATCAAAATTACCTAAATTGTCTACACTACAGTACCGGACAGATATGTACATCAGGTGATTTAATTAAGATAAAAGCTTGGGGTGTTTTGATTTTAGATTTTTAACATGATATACAATATTTCAGCAACAAATGCTGAAGTTTTGGATATTCTATTGTTTACTCTGCAAATGATTATAGCTGGTATATGAGGTCAGGCAATGCTTTCTTGACCCCAAAATTTCAACGTCAACATTCTATAAATAGACAATAAAAATATTACCATTTAGGTAGGTTGAAATAAATGTATTTGCTTAATTTTAGAAGAAACATGCATTTATTGTTGATAAAAAAGTGACTGACAACCACTGAACAAAGAAAATACTAAATAAAGCATTTTCGGGGCCGTCCGGGTTTGGTGGTTGTCTGGTTTTGGTGGTCCCAAACCAGTATAAAAAACAAAATTCAGATTTACATGTACGTATATATAAATTTATATTTAGATATATATTTTGCATTATTAAACATGTAAATGTACATAAATAAAATCAATACTTAATTTCAGATAAGACATCCATGATTTACACACCAATGGTCATATGATGATATATCTAATGTTCAGCTGTGTCTTGTATTAAGGTGAGTCATACTTTAAGTATTATCTATGCACAATTTCTATCTATAAGACTATAATATATGAACAATGTTTGTTTTAACTTGTCCTTTTTTTAAATATGCTATTATGTGAAATGGACCACACCATTATGTCATTTGAGTATCGGTTGATGCAAAATATACTTGTTTCCTTTAAATACAAAGTTAATATGCTAATATAAATATATGCTAAATTCATACATGATTTCTCACAAAATATGTCTTTTATTTCTATAGATGATACAAGCCACATTACCAAACCATGCTGATGGAACAAACAACGATATGAAGGGCGTTGCATTTCGGTATGTTTATACTGACTACTGTATATTAAATTAATAAAAAAACTCATGACAATTTCCCTGTACATATACACATGCTTGCCAGTAAGTTTTCGGACAAAGGTTTAATGTATGTTAAATGCAGGGAAATAACATAGGCTATTTAAGGTAGGCTGAAATAAATGCACATTTTATACTGAATATTTCTATACTGAATTTTTTTTTTTCAGAAACCCGTTGTGCATTTCTGATTTCGGGATCTACAAGTAAATATCAACATGGCAACAGGTATATTTTGTTTTTACCAATGTCAGATGGTTAAAACATTCATCATGTTCCCATGTGTCGATATTGGTCTGAATAGTTAGAAAATCAATACACAAACATATATAAAATAACATATTTCATAAGTTATATACATGTATGATGTATATTCATATTTTACACTACATAATACTATTGTTACTGTGAAATAATACATATACAAACTAAAAATATATACAGATCTGTAGATTTAAAATATGCTTTCAGATTCTACAACGTTCGTATTTTGTGCGCAGAATATCCAGAATAGGTCCCAATTGTCACTCTCAGGGAGAAGGGAAGCAACAGTGTTAACCATGCTAGCGATCTGAGTAATTCAAGTATACAAGTATACGAACAATTACAGGCCAAATTGTGCACCAAGACTGTAGAAGGGATTTTATTCACAATAGAAACATTTCAAATAGCTCCAATGTTAAGTGTAACCAAGTTAAAAGACCTTTAAGATCAAATGCTAACTTTGCTTTAAAGTGTAATCGCTTGTTCTGTGGTAAGCCTGCTAAAGTTGCATATGGTAAACGTAGATGTTCATCCTTGTAGAAGTTTTGATTTTCAGGAAACACATCGTCGGAACCCACGGTACACATTCCGTATATACTACATTTAATATTATTACCGATACATGTATACGGTAAATAGCCTGGGTTACCGAGGATGCAGGAAACAATACAACTCAAATGTTCTGAGAGAAACAATCTGTTGGGAAATGTTGTTTTAAACAGACTGTTGTCAGTTTTGGATTTTCGTCAGATTCGAAGAATGTGTATTTCAGATCAGACAATGAAAACCCAAATAGTTTGGCATATGTATTCAAAAGACACCAAAACGTGATTGGAATAGAGATTTGTTATCTCCTACCATTCCTGCAGGCTTTCTCTGGTTGCGACAGTTCTTAAAATAATGTGTAAAAATGAAGTGTTCCGGCAAAATGCTGCAATATTTCATTCTTCAACAAACAAAGAAGAAATTATTACAGGTGGTGAAAATGCCATGAGGATATTATCTGATGGAGTTAGGGAGATAAATTTGAGCAGACTGAGATTTCACAAATTTGTAAGTAAAACCATGTCAAGTTCATCTGTTATTCAAGTTCAAAGCATTCCGCCTACGTCTGATGCTGCGGCGCAACACTCTATACCGTTATATTTTCAAACACAAACATAGGTTGGAAATGATAAACTAGATCCAGCTGAATGGGGATAGGAACTTCTCGAAGGACTCTTGTACCCACAAAATCTACACAACCCGCTGCTCCAGATTTTCTTTTAAATATTATCAGATGCAATTGCAAAAAATGCCACTCTTAGAGATGTACCTGTCGCAAACATGACCTCGAATGTTCGGTTGGTTGTGGAGAATGTCATTGTATTAGCTGTTCAAACTGTCGGTCCATTTCAGATATTGATTTTGCGGACATGGAGGACTACATCTTGTATCGACACAATGCTCTTAGAACTAAGTTTTTACCTGTTTTGTATTGAAATGTATTCATATTTTGTGTTATTATTGGCAATGTACATGCATCTGGCATCTTGTTTTTACATAAGCAATAGAGGTTTCACTTTAAGTTATTCATATAAAACTTTGCAGACAAATATGTTCTATATATTGAACAGTCTCATATTCCTCGCGAAGTAAATACAATGTAGCTTTTAATAAAAACAAAAGATTTATAATAATACTCTGTTTGCTTGCCATATGAAGTAGTTCTTTAATTAGTATTGTAGTTATACTCTTTTATCCAGTGTCAAATTATACTAAAATTTATGCACAATATTTTACATAGGTGTCTATCACAGAACAATTAACTTGTACTAGCACCAAACTATGCGCTATAACTTAAATGTAGTAAAATGTTTGAAACAATCTAACTCCAAATGTACAATAGTATTGTATATTTAGAGTTAGATTGTATATTGAATACATACTTATCAATGCTTTCTTATATTTGCTTGTGTTGCGACACACTGTTTTTTTCTCTAATTGTCAATGTCAAAGTTCTCCTATTGTAAATAAAAATGTATTACTATACTGTCTGAAATACAGAACGATAATTTCAAATTAATAGAAGTGGTCTTATATGTTGTAGACTGTTATGTGATAGTACAAGCATGACAATGACCCTACCATATACTTTAAGTAATTTAAGTGTACATATCGATGTGACAAAAATGTAGTTCTTGTGAATGAAACAGCCTGTATATTCGAGTTCTTTATATTTATTATCACTTCATTGTTGCTTGCCAAATTAGGTAGCTCTTCGGTACATTTATACATTTGTAATATAGTTTTATTCCGTGTGTAATGTCAAATTTCAACAAGTGACACTTAAATGTATATACTACAATTTCTCCATAGACCGGGTATAGTATTTTTCATCTGTAGTGTTGGTAATTGTTACTCGCTCTTAATAATACTTACTTGTTGTTGTTGGTCCTTTTTTTTTGCTTGAAACAAACAAATTATTCAAAATGCGTTGGATGTTCAGAATGTTAGCTAAACAAAAGTGTACCTGAATTATTCAACATTCATGTAAAACATAATTTACAATACACATGTATGTCCATTTTAATTCATATGAATACAGTTGACATAATTTAAAAAGTACTTCTTCATGCATAAATATGTTATTATGTATTGTTTTTTACTGTAAAATATACATGGAATGGATGATTTGGGCTGCTTATATATCGGAATTTGACTGGCTAAAAATTTTAAAACATAAAGTGGGTGGGGTAATTTGACACCAGTTTGTCATAGAAAATTGCCCACCCAAAATTTATTTTTTTAAATTTTAAAAATGGCATAAATTTTTTGTATCAAACATGGACGAAAATGTGTTTGTATGAAGTTTGCATGTAATAATATGTTTAACTTATATATAGAAGTGTTTTTTTTTAGTATCATTGGAAATTAAAAAATTACGTCGGCGCGATTTTTATAAACTGAAATTTAAGGGTGTCAACTTGAAAGCTAGAATTATCACATTTCCCCTTCAGCAAAAGAGTGCAACTTTTTTCCTAATATCAAGCAGATATGGTACCATCATAAAATACCAAAACAAAAACTTTTGCAATTAGTTCTAGGTTAGCTTGATTTTCGGGCTAATTTGACTAGACTATTTTCTCTGTAGAATGTTCAACAAGTTCGTCAATATTTCATCATGTTATTTCGGGACATTTTCCAATAATACAATGCATGCTTTTATTTTTCAAATCTAAAATCATAAACAATGATAATAATTTTTTTGTCATTTTATTGTTGGATTTTAGACTACTTTCACTATTGCCGTTTTCGGCGTTCCTAGGTTAGTTCGTTTTCTGTCTAGTATATAACTTGATGTGGTGTTAATTTTAAATGTTAGTAATGAAGAACCATATTTTAAAACTTTGCCCAGAAATAACTGCGATTGCTGTTTTTAATCCTGTTCCTACAAACATATTTTTCTAACAATATAAACTACACCAAATTTAAAAAATCATTAGGTTTACATTCATTAAATGCCGATTAAAAGTAACCGACAGTTATCAAAGCAGCATATTACACATCTATTATGCGAAACATGTCACATTTTATGCTAATTATGACACATGGAGTGAGGTGGAAATTAACTGTACACATAAAACTTTCGAAATAATTATTGAGACAGACTCACTCATTTCCTACTGAATAATATTGGAACTAAATTAAACTGAATGAACCTTGTAGGCTATTGAACAGCAATGACCGCTGATACATCTGATACAATCTTATATAAGGAGATCAACGTCAATCTATGTTTGCATGTTACTTTATCTGTGCCAATCAGTTTATTACCCAATGATGACCTTTTGTTATTAACTCATAATTCACAACAATTTTTACAACACTTGTATCCCATCCTGATAATTCCTCTTTTTATTCTATCAAAATGGATGTAAGGTGCATAAAAATGTTGCAATTTGAAATATGTTATCTTATTGATAGTCCTAGAACTGGTTTTCACTGCCCTAAATTTTCTTTTGAAGTTTGGTTTGCTATAAATTGTCTGCTTCTCATTTAACTTGTCAATTCGATGGACGATCGTGGTGAGAACGACAGCTCTTGATATATAAATGTCAGAAAAATGTTGCTATGTACTTCGCTGTTTTGATTACTTGTCCTTTTAACTGTCTAGCTACAACAGACGCCTTCCTATAAATGTAATTGCTCAATTTGATAAAACATCTATCTGCAAATTGTTTTGATAAAACTAGGACATTTACCGTTTAATATATTTAAGCACAATGTCAACAGAATAACAAGAAAAAAAAACAACAGTATTTTCATTCTGCATAGGAAAAATAGTGATATATTATAATAGTTTTTCCTTTTGATAATTTCTGCTAATTTCAATTTTGTAATTGAAAGATATCTCGTTTACAAGAATCATTAAAGTCATTACACTAAAGCACGTGATAAGTAAAATATTTCAAACCGCGTATAGAAAGTCCAGCATTTACACTCAGACAATATAATTGTTTACAGTTACATGTTGATATTTATTTTTCAATAACAAATTTTCTTTATCTTCCTTCTGTTGCTTCTGCAGTTTGTGATATTCTCACTCAAATTATTTTCAATGGCCATTTAAGACCTCTAGAAATAAATTGTTGTGTTGATATTGGTTCGAATATCCTACATCTCAAACTTGAAGTGGACAAACGCTTAGATATTCTCAAATTATAGAAATAATAAGTGTCTATTGTATGTAGTTTGTAAGTTGATTGTTTAAATTTTATAAAAAAAAACCGGAGACATATACTTAAAACTATATTCATATTAAAAGGAGGTGTATACATGTAAAAATGATAATGATTAAATATGTTCACGTGTTTTGGAGTCCCCTATTTGCAGTTTTCTGTTTTAATAGCAAGATTGATGTAGGAATACGATGACAAGGCATACGTCAGAGATTATCATTTTTGATATATACTCTCCTTGAGATATCCTTTTGTCTTTCGCATTTAGTAATATAAATGACGTTTCTTAAATGGACGTGGAATATTAAAAAAAAATTGTTTCTTTATATATATGTTGACACTTACGGAATGTTGCCAAGAACTATTATTTGCAGCATCTAAAATGCAGTCATTATACATTACCAAAACGTAAGGTTTGTTAAAATGTTGAATTCTGCTTAAGCCGGTGCTAGGGGGCGTGGACGGTAACATGCACTTTCCAGTACCGTCCATGAAAAGGCTCAATCAAACCGAGCCTGCAACATTTTCAATTTTGCCGTGATGGACTTTCTTTAGGGTTTCTGTATTTATCTATTTTATAAACTTAGTGTAATATACAATAAAACATTTTCTTATTATTAAGCAGTTTTTATATTTATTCCCTGCTATTCAGGGGTATGACAGGGAAGAGAAGATAAAGCAAACTTAAATGTTGCAAGATCTTCGCCATATCCAAATATCTGCGGATATTTCTTAATTTAAAATCTCATTATCTTACGTTATTCTTATCTAAAAGTAAATCAATATTAAGAAATGAGTCTCATTACCTTTAAAATATAGATTTATTTTTACCCAACTCAACTAATGTGAAGTGGTCGCGTGATTAATTGTGGTATGGAAAAGTAAACATCACATGTTTGAACTATTATGTTTTAAAAAGTACAAGATTATGTCGCTTTGAAAATTTACGTTCCTTAATAAATTTTTTTTAGTAAAATGACAGTAACCGTAAGGTATTAGGGTTACTTTACACACACTAATGTCATATCCAATTACTTATTAACAGGCGGAGCTTAAGACTAATACAAACAGTTTAGCGATAACGCATTAATGCTTTATCCGCATTATAAAAAATATCGTTAAGTATTAAGAATGTTTTTCATTAGGTCAGTGTTAAAGTTCAATGACTCGTGAGTACAATATGGCTTTTAAGCATTTTTTGTTTAAACCGGATCCATATCAGGAAGTCTTTCTTTATTCATTAAGATCCTTTTTTCAGACTATTCTATATATAAAATGTACAATGACATTACTTCGTCAGACTAAACTAGATAAGAAAATAGAAAAATAGTTCTACTAGTTATCTAAAAGAACGCCCAAAACGGCGATAATTGGAAAATGTAACAAGCTAGGTGTGTCTATTTGACGACAATGGAAACTGTAAACTGCCGTCCACTTCCCCTTACACAGGCGTATGCGGAAATACGCATTTATATTTACATATATATTTCTTAATTCAAAATTTCAAAAGCCTGAACATTTGTGTTCAAACGAGGTGAACATACAATCTTTAATATGACATTTCTGTGACTTTAAAACTCCCCACAATTGTTATTCAAAGGCGGTCCCTTCTGTGTTCCTTCACATGTTTCACATGTATGTCTTGCGTGTTATTACATGTTTTAGGAATTGGAGGTTTTGTAAAATCCTATCTTGATACATTGTGACATTCGTTAACGGTAAGTATTTTCTTCAAAAGCCCCTTTTCCCTGACACCCCTTATGCCTTAAATTCCCGTATCAGTCCCTTTTAGTTCTGATCATTTTACTTTCACCGTTCTTGTGCCAACTCCATTTTCGTTCTGGACACATATTCTATGGGTCCTGCGGGTATGACTGGATTGTTTTGGAACTGCGTTTCTATGAAAAGTGATGTATCTACTCCTTGTAAAAAGGTAAATTGTAATATGAAGCGGAATTTGCAGATTTGATAAGATATTATGAGACCCTAATCGGTTTGTGAGATTTAAACACAACCGGATGCATGCAATCGTTGTCAATATTAGACACAATCTCAAAATCCTCTTTCCTAAAAGGAACAAAGATCTAAACAGTTATTACATAAAAGCAGTTTTTAAATTAATTTTAAGAATTGTGATTATATAACATTTCTAAGCGGACATCTGTATAAAATAAATCGTCTATGTCTGGACAAAACAACAAAACAATAGATAAGTTGTTTTTCTATTTAATCCTCAGCAG